GCCTCGACGCCCTCCCTCGGCCCCGGGGCCAGGTAACGGTGCCCGCCCCGAGGAGCCATGAGCCCTCCTCCTCCTCCTCCTCCTCTTCACTTGGCGCCTTTCGCCTTCGCGGTTGAGGGGGGAAGCGCCGGGGCGCCCGGCTGCGGTTTTGGGGCCCGGGTGCGTTGCTGGAAAACCGTGTGCCGCAGGTGGAAGGCTGAGGAAATGGCGTGGGAGGCTGCTATGCATCTAGATGGTTACCTGGAGAAATCCCTAAAGACAACAGCAATGGCTGTCAGTGATTTTTTAACATAGGCACGTTAACTTTGTCCTTGTGGCATGAAAGCATTTTGTTTAATTTGAAATATTTATGCAATTTAATTTGAAATATATATGCAATTTTTATGAAGTTATATACTGGATTTGGGGTTGTGAATCTCAGTTTGCTGAGAAGATGTTTCAGTATACAATGCCCCTTTTCGACTTTAATTCAGTGCTTTTAATTTAGTTGACCCTACAACAGCTCAGAGACCTGTTATTTAATCATATTTACAAGCACTCCTGATTTTATTAACTTCCTGAGAACAGTTTCATTTTGGAAAATGAAAAATTCAGTACTTTTGTTTTTTTTTTTTTTTAAAAAAAGATGCTTACAAAAGGGGTAGAAATGATGTGGAAGTTTTCCAGGCACCTGAAGACAGCTTGCCGTGCTCCTGGGGAGGGGAAACAGAATAAACAAGGAGTGTTTAAAATGAGAGCAAAGGCTGAATACAAGCAGTGCAGGATATGCTTATATTTGGTAAAATATCATGCAAAATTCAGGGGCTAGCTGTCAAGGTGAATTAGTCCTGGAGCTAGGTACGTCGCTGTTGGGTATGCCCAGAAAATCCCAGTGCTTTGAGTGCAGATAACGGTGAAGCAGCTGGGAGATGTTGCACCAGCAGGTACACGTGTGCCACTTCCACTACTGTAGAGCAGGGCTTATGCCTCTTAAGTTCCTGAAATGGCTTTTGAAAAATGCCTTTTGTTACTGAGTTGTTAAAGCTGGTATGTCATCTGAATTCCTTGGTGTGCTTGTTGATAAAAATACATACCAGTAAAACGCTTGCTTGACCGTAAGGGTTGTACTTGACATTTACCTTCTGCTATTAATTTTCTTTGCCTATTTTAGTTAGCACTTGAACTAAAATATATGTGTCTTCCTGTGTGATGAGGATAGGCGCTTATAACAATTCCTAGTAAAGCTTGAGGGATTCTAACATAACACCTGTGACATTATAGGCCAGAGTTCTTTTTTTTTTTAAAAAAAAAAAAAAAAGATTTTTTTTTCTTCATCATAAAATGGGAATAGTGTTTTATTAAGTGTACATGGATGTATTAAATGTGCATGGTGTGTATGTACTTCCAACTTACATTTTTTTTCCACCATCAGTTGGTTGCTTAGAAACCCAGTGCTGAATTGACCAGGTGTTTTAAAGCCAGCTGGTAGCGCAGACCCTGTAGCGCTCGTGGAGCTCTGCCTGCCCCACGGGATTGCAGAGGAGCAGCGGGTGTCAACGGCCAGGGTTTGATTCCCAAACTCCATCTAGAAGTTTGTGTGCGGTTTGAAGATAATATCTGTAATTATAACTTAAAAGATTATTCCTGTGTGAAACCCTTGGGAAATTTGTGTGGCAAGTTAGCTTGTACAATTTTATTTGTTCTAGGAATATGCAAAGTTACTTTGGTAAGAAAAAGGAATCTGGATCAAAATAGTTATGTAATAATGAGTAAATAAAATAATACGTCAAAACCCAATTACTCCAATTGAAAAGACGAGTATTGTTTTTTATGTATTTTTTAATGGCTTGGCAGTATTGGATAGCTCCAAAAAATGTCTCCAGTCGTCTTGCGAAACAGAGGATTAACACAATGAATTTGAGTTCTTGCAGGGGCCTCTCTGGAACTTGATTATGGTGGCTGGAGTGATGTGGTTGTCTCTAATGGGAATAGGTCTCTCCAGCAGTGTCAGATTGATTTGTTGATGATGCCGTTCGCTTCTGGCTATCATGAGAGAAGGGTCATGGAAGAGACACCCAAGTTTAACATTTTCTTGATGTCAAGTATTTGAACTCAGTGGTAACTGCTCAAATTTGTGAATGGCTAATCCTTAATTATTGTGTGGTGTATCCCCTTAGTCTCACCTGAGTTGACAAGTGCTGTCTAGGTGTGCACAATATACGTTTTTCTACATTTTATGATAACTTGACTCCTAACAGCTTTTACTTTCTAGAAATAGATCAAGGAGCTTTGCTGCCAGACCCATGGAATTTTTTGAAACTGAAAATGCGGAAGTTAAAAGTCAATATTGGATACCGTCGATAAAGCGGAAACCGAACGTGTGCATTGAGAGGTGAGAGTGTCTTCAGTTTAAGATGAGAGTGGAAGAAACTTGCAGGTTTTAAGTTGCCTTAAAAAAGATAGGTCCATACGTGTTCGTATCTTGGATATTTCCATGCAGATGTTGTCTGTTGAAAAGACTTGCCTCCATGGCTTATCCTGTGGTTTTGTGTAGAGCCACTGAAGTTTTCAGGCATGGTTCTCCTCGCTTCCTGTAGTACAAGCTCTGCAAACTGTACACGACTGTCAGCAACCTCTTTGCAAGTCATGATGTGTTCTTCACAAATCGAAATCATTACCGTATTACTTCAAGAAAAAACACTTTGGAATAAACTTTCGGTATTTCTTTTGATGCTTGCTACTCTGTAAAGGGAAGCTTAGAATGGTGGAGTGGGATGAGAGGAAGGAATAAAGTAATTGCTCATTTGCCACAAGCTGCGTGTTGACAGTAAAGGGCACTTTCAAAATAGCTATTTATTTATTTATCTATTGTGTGAAAAGATGGCGTTGCATGAAAGATTAATATCCTTTTCTGTATAGAAAAAGGAATATTTGTAACAGAAAAAGGTATATTTATAATTTGGAACTTTGTGGAATATTTGTGTAAATCATTTTTGTTTTCTGTTTGAGAAAGAAGAAAAAATCCCTTCTCCTACTTCCCTCAACAACAGAATGATAGTGTGGTTGTGAAAACTACTGTTGAGAATTCTAGATCAAGCATTATATTTTTAGCCTATTTGGGGCTTTTTCAGGCAGTTGATTACTTCGAAAGGCTGTCTGGAATAAAGGCACTACCTGCTTTGGGCTTACAGTGTTTGAATAATTATTTCACGTATGAAGCATGGAAGTTTTGGCATGGTTGCCTCTCTGTTAGTGCATCTGAGATCTAGAGTTTTAATACGAACCCTGGAGCGTTGGCAGTATTCTGTATTTGAAAGGTGTATATATATGCTTTTGGCATAAAGTATTACTATAAGGCAGCAAATATTGTAAATGACCCAGGTTTAAATGAGAGAGAGAGACTTGGCTGACATACTGATTTTTGCAGAAATTTATATTTCCAGTGTCAGTTTTGATATTATATTGCTGTGCTTAAAAATTGAGTGTGAAATCCTTTTTTTTAAAAAAAAAAAACAAAACAAAAAAAAAACAAAAAAACACACTTCTGTGCAGTTACCAGATACTGTTCTAAGAATATGAGGTTTCTGGCTGTTAATACAAAAATCATGCTGACTTAATTCCAGGTTATGCTGCACATGGTGCACTTCAGCTGCAAAGCAATAGCAGTGTTGGGATTTCACAGATGGTACCAGCACCTGCAGCCAGACAGATGCACAGGAATATTCAATTATTCTTATTTTAAAGTTTACATATTTCTGCTGATATAAGTGTAAACTGTGCGATACATCTGAGTGCAAATGGGCCGGGTGTTTTGCTGATGTGTAGCACGATCCAGCTGTCTGCCTATGTTATTTCTATGCTGATGCATCCGGATACCACAGTTCCGGTCAAGGCTGATGGTTAGTGGCCAGCTAGTAAAATCCTGCTGCAAGCACAAGAGATTGAATTTGAATGAGATAGTGTCATGTTAAAATGAGTTAAAATTTACAAAGTTATAACAAAATTGCAAAATGCAGTAACTTCCACATAATGTTCTGGGTCACTTGAATAACTTGCTGTGAATTGTTTGAAACAAATTCTTTAAATCAAAACAATTCAGAATCAAGACTCTGCAAATTACTCCTTATGATTTGATCTGTAAACTCACAAACTCATAATCTGTCATTTTTTTTTTGTAGTTTGTAGTTGAAATTCTTAGCCATCGATATTTCTGTAGTTTATAGGTAAGTCTAACTATTTTTTTCTTCTTTTCTTTTCTCAGTATGCCCTCAGAAATGCTGCTGAAGATATTTTCCTATTTGGACGCCGTGTCCCTGTTGTGTGCCGGTTGCGTGAGCAAGCGGTTCTATGATCTGGCCAATGACAAGTAAGGAAATGAAAGCGTAAGTGTTGGCCTTAATCTCACAGCAGTTGAGCTTCCCCAAATTATGAGCCATTCTAATTTAGTTTCATTGATGTCAGAGCACTGATGCAAGTACCTGCTGGCAATTATTTTGTTGAAAATGTACTCATAGCTCACAGTACAATGTGTTGCATGGAGTTCTAGCTGTGCAAGCTCCATTAAAGTTAATGGGATTTACGTGGCGAAAGCTAAATGCATTGCCTTGAAATGTTGCTATTAGTGTTTATTTTGATATAAAAATTTGCATTTGTTTGTAGTGCATGCTCACCAACACAGGCAGTGCACAGGCTCAAGCAGTCCATCGTGTCAGGTATAGCTTGTAGTGTTGTAGCATTGTCATAGATCTCATAATTTTTGAAGTCCTACTTCTTTAGTTCTTTGTTTGCATTTTTGGCAGGGAATGTGATTTAGTCAGGTGATTTGCTGATAGGTTTTAGCTGTATTAGCTCTTCCAGTCAAATTCTGGTGACTTTAAAATGTAAGCAGAAAGGACACAGAAAATATTGACCCACCAGTAAGTACCCACTCTTATCAGGATAAGTTTGTGAAAATGATCAAGAGGAGAGAACCTGACTTATATAAGAATAGCTAGAATCTCTACGTATTGCTGCTTTTTTTTCTTTCTATTTTTTTCCAGGTTCCTGTTCCATTGGTGTTTATATGAGAAAATTTCTTCCTATGTATCCTGTATTTGCTATTTGTTCATTTCTCACTCATTTGTCAAAATTTGAACAGTGAACTGGTTACTGTCAATGTTGGCACCTTTAGAATGATGAATTTAAGGGGAAGGCTATAGTCCAGATTTGTTTTTTGAGTCTGTCAGCAGGTGCATGTAAATGAAATATTTGATGTTATTTATGTGCTTTTTCCAGTGCAGGATAACCAGGTAGACAGGAGGTAACATCATTGAAGCTGTTCAAGGGAAAGTGATCCATATGTATCCATCTCAGCCATGTCTATTTCCATTGTTTCAATTTGAAGTAATATCACTGTATATGCACAAGTATGATCTCAAGAAGAGATGTCTTCTGTTATTTATGAGATGTATTCAGTGGAGGAGGCCACTTTTCTTTGGGTCTTGTGGACCTCGTTGAGTCTGCATCTTTCCATGAATCAACAGAAGCCTTGATTGAAGTCCCTGGATATTTCTTTGACAGATCTGGTCTTGTTTTTAGGCAGAAAGTATCTTCTTGAGACTCATTCTGCTATTCTAGGTGTAGTTATTGTCATTGTGTTCAATAGCTCTCAATGCAGTCTCTCTCTGCATGTGTTTGTGACTCCTAGTGATATATATGCTTTGTCTTTGGGCTTTAGCTGTTCCTTGGGACTGATGTCTTCAGTATATCTGGTGAGGGTAAGGAAATGTTTCTGATCCTCTTTCTACCTCCCTGTTGCCTTCTCCTCTGCCCCATCGTGTAATAAGCTTACATGGAAGATCTGAAATTGCGAGGATTTTGCTCACCAGCTGATAGTGCTGGTCTGACAGGAGAACTAGGACCTGGAGTGCAGGGAAGGATCTTTGGGCCTTGCCCAGCGCTTGTTGCTGTTGTGGCCGGGTGATGACTGGCAGTGGCGATGCCCCAAGCCAATGCCCCGAGCTCTAATAAGAGACCTTGAGATGAGTTGTGAGCTTAGCTTTGTGAGGCAAAAGTGGCAGGTATTCTGTTGTGAAAGAGACCGTTCCATGCTTCCCTGTTGGATACCTTTTTGATCTGCCTACCCTAAGTTCTTCAGAAGTCGAGAGTAGAAGGAGGATGACAAGACAAGGGTGCCTTCCCAGACATTTGTGGTTCCAAGTGCCACTCTTGATTTTTTTTTTCCCTCCTCTCTCTCTGGCTGAGTTGATGTATTAGCTTCCTGTATTCTTGCACAATGCAGTTACATGAAAGAAGGATTATGTAGCTGAGAGTGGGGAGAAGAGTGGTAAGCACTAGTGACAAATCAGGCTTCATTCAGCTTATGCTGCCAGAGAACGTAGGAAATGCCTCCTGCTAACTGCACCCTGTAGCCAGATGCTGAATATTCCTCCCTTTTAAAAAGAGAATGTCCCTCCTGGGAGTGGAGTACTAGTTAACACCCCATTTTCAGTTGGATCTTTATGAGAAACTTGAGGGGTCCTGATTGTCCAGTCAGAGGTATCAAAATGCTTTTATTTTGACTAGATAATCTTGCATTGTTGTTTCAGGCTGAAGTTTTTTAACTGCTTAGACATGTTTAGTTTTCATTATACTTGCATCTCCTTGTGAGCTTGTCTAGGCCAACTCTGAGAATCTCTGAGCTTCTTAGAATCTGCATTTCTGGAAGATAGCCAAAACTTGACTCTTTTTTCCCCTGTTGCTTATTTCTACTCTAATCTGTACCATTTCTTTTAAATCTGCTTCAGTTTGTTTAAGGGGAAGTCTATGGAATCATAGAATCATAGAATGCTTAGGGTGGGAAGGGACCTCTAGAGATCATCTAGTCCAACCTCCCTGCACACGCAGGGTCACCTAGAGCATGTGGCACAGGACTGTGTCCAAGTGGGTTTTGAAGATCTCTAGAGAAGGAGACTCCACAACCTCTCTGGGCAGCCTGTTCCAGGGCTCTGTCACCCTCACTGTTAAAAAATTTCCCCTTAAGTTCCTGTGGAACTTTTGGTGCTTCCATTTGTGGCTATTACCTCTAGTTCTGTCAGTGGCCACCACTGAAAAGAGGCCAGCACCATCCTCTGCACTCCCTCCCTTGAGGTACTTATAGACACTGATCAGATCCCCTCTCAGCCTTCTCTTCTCCAGGCTGAACAGGCCCAGCTCCCTCAG